AATTTTTTTAAATATCTTTGTCCTTTCCTGGATTACCTGACAACATTTCAAAGCATTTATTGCACCTGTGGGAGGCACTTGTTTCATAAACACAACTACAGGACAGTATATTACAGTATATGAATCCAAATATTTGACTCAACTCTCATTCCTGTTCCTACATGATACATCACCTGACAGGCTTTATACATCTTTGTATAATTTTGTTTTTCTATTCAAAAGTATATCTGGTACAGTATTGAGTTTCATTTCAGTGGTTTTAAAATATATGCCATCCATGATTTTGATGTACAGTTTTGTTTTGTTTCCCTGAGTTGACACAAGTTACCTTTTGTATTTACTGTACCACCACCAATTTGTACTTCCTCCATCCCCTAATTATTTGGAATGTTGTGTAAGTTAGGCATCCCCTACAGGTGGGACTGGAGAATGTCATTCTGAGGACTCTGGGCAGAGGAACGAATGGAAGTGGGAAGAACTCAATTGTCAGTAACAAGATGTACCAGTGTTCCTGCTGTACCTACTCAACAAATTATTCTACAGACATGACAAGACATTTACGCACTCATACAGGAGAGAAACCATTTTCTTGTTCATTTTGTTCTTACTGTGCTACAACAAAAGATAATTTGAAGAAGCATCTTCTTACTCATACAGGAGAGAAGCCATATGCATGTAATCTTTGTCCTTATCGAGCTACTCAGAAGAGTCGCCTAAAGTGTCACTTGCTCACCCATCGAACACCATCCCAATTTCAATCAAAAACTTTTTAAAAGTATAATTTTTTTCTATAGGAAATATAAAATGAATCGGCTTTTAAATTCTCATAAATGGACTAACCAGAAGAGAAAGTCATCAAGTTACAAATTATTTAATACTGTATACAGTATCAATTAACAGTACCATTTGCCATACAGTACAGTAATGTATACTGTACTTTGAAAATTAATTTTTTTTTCTCGTGAAAGTGGATAATATGAAAGCAAATCCTTGTAGTGAGTTGTCAGAAAAATTACAAATGGTTTGAGACCATTTATATGTCTTTGGTTTTGTTATTATTGCAGTTTTTGAACATAAAAGATGAGTGTGAGATATTACCCTCTACAATACAGTACAGTACCATCTCCACTCAAAACAAAAAACTATGCATGTCATTCTAAGTCGCAGTGCTTCCATGAAAGAAAACAGATAAATGCAGATCCTGTGTAACTACAAATAAGAGTACCTGTACAAGAATGGTGGGAAGTTGCAAACACATTTATTTTTAAAAGGAATTGGATGTTTGGACCCATTATCCAAAATTTTAAATTGCCCCTTTCTAGTGGAGATGGAAAATTGAGAATTACTTGCAGTATATGTAAAGAACTTAGCATATATAGTACTTTTAAGTGTACTGTATGTATAGTTAACTAGGGCTTGGTGTGTCTAGGAAATCATCTTGGAGTTACTGAAGTACAGTATTTGTAAAAGGTTGTAAATTAAAATGTATTGAGTTGGGATTATGCAAGTGTAAAAGATTTTTTGGGGATGGAAACAGACATGGGAAAACCATCTTGTCATAGAGACAAAGTACAATACTGTACAGTGCCGTACTAGATTAGAACGAATAGAAGGATGTGCTGGAGAATAGGACTGTGCTGGTATACCTTGTATAGGGCAGTGGAAGATTTTGGGAGGTACAGCACAGTAATACATTGGGGGAGAACAGGGTAGAGGTAAAGGGTGAAGTGGTTGGGGGGCTCTTCAGTCACAAAGGGAGAGTGAGGCTCTGGAGATGTTAGAATACATAGAAAGGATATCATAATACATATCTTTTTTAAAACTTGTATTCATTGTGGATGGTTTGATAGCAAGCCAAGATGATGTCAAAGTGGACCTAAACCATGTACAGTACAGTATTGGTGTACTTCAGTGGTATTATTACATGTTGTACAGCTGTAGTTTGTTGTTGAAGTTGTCATTATTGTTGGTTTATACATGGGTGGTGAGAGGCCTTTCAGTGCTCACTGTAAATATCATCAAGTTATAACCAAGTTTAATAATTCAGTTCATGTTGAGTGATCTATTTTACTTTATGGAAATGTCTTAATTGTTTAAGTCATTGCCATTTATAAGCAATTGAGATTATTTTATTGATCAATATACAGTACTGTATCATGTCATAGTAAAGGATATTTAAGGGTACGGTAGTCACATTATGGGAATCACACACTGGCACGTAGAGTACAGTACAGTTCTGTATTTTGTATGAGTGCTGCCGCCGCCTCTGGTGCCATATCATCATCACCATTTTCCTCGCTTACTCGGGTTAGTCGTGATTACCTGATGGCACGGTGTCCCCTTAGCCATCAGGCAAATTTGAAGCAAGTTTTATAGCTTGATTCTCTTCCAATCACCAACCTACTTGTATGTATGTAAGACTTATTTGGCTTAGATATGTTGTTAATGAGTGAGGTTATGGCTCTTGTGTAAGAATAGCACACAGTACAGTACAGTACAGTACATGACTTAGAAGTGTAGATTCTGGCAGTAGTACAGCACGTAGTTGAAACATTACCTACTGCATATGGTGATGTATGTGGAAACCAGAGAGTGTATTGTATGAACGAACAGAACAGAGTTAGTGTTTCTTTTTTGTATTTAATAGTAGTACTGTAGTTAGTTAGATAAATGAAAGGAATAAATTATGAAGGTCAGGTCATATCTGAGAAATTTGGTTATAGCCAGGCTGGGAATAATCAATTAGCAGAACAAAAAAATTCTTCAATATTAGATGATAAGTAGAGTAGAGTATGGGGGAACAAGGCCTCCTTCAGAAATACTGTAGTGTCTCAGTTAATAGTCTTTGGTGTGTGTGATGATCATTAATGGTTTATTGAAAGAGCGTGGCAGCCGGAAGGGTGAAAATATACGGTTACATAATTGGGGAATGGGTCTCTATGAATGACAAATAATGTACAAGAAACATAAGTGATACAAATATGATATATAACAACTAGGTGGGGAGAAGGTTATACTACAGGGCATTTCAACATAGTGACAGTGCAAAAAGGTAAGATTGGCTGAGTGAACACACTAATTGATTATGAGTTGTTGATAATATTTACAATGGTTGGGACCTGGCTGTTCTTATAGCGATCAGTACTTGCTCGTATGGGCTGGACGTGGTCGTGGTCGTGTTGTCAAACAGCAATTCGCGGCAAGGGATCTCGGGTGGTAGTATGAGCCGCGTCGAGGATGGTGCAGAAACTTTCACCAAATTTGCAGATGAGGTCGTGGTGTGTGTGAATTCGACCAGTTTGTCATAGACTTTTATCGGACTTTGGTTGGTTCAGCATATCACAAGGTTTCAGAAGTTTTGTAATCATCCTCATTTGTCAAGTTGTTTAACTGCATTAGTGATTCACCGATCAACCCCCGTGGCAGGAAAAATTATGTACAGTACACTATAAAAATGTTCCCCAAACATCCTTTTAATTGTTGTTGGTTAAATGATGTACAGTATGTTGAAGAATGTGGAAACCAAATATGAGTCCATTAGTACAGTACAGTACAGTACTTATCATACTTTGACCGTGGTGAATTTGGGGTTGGCGGTTTGAGGACACACGTCTTGCCTCCATCGTCACTGAGATATGACTTGTGTAATCAACGGCGTGGGTGGGAGGATTACCCAGTTAGATAACTGGTGAGTGTAAACATTCCATACTTAACCCCACGAGGTATTAAATTTTTTTGCGTGCTGCATTCAAAACGCACTGAATTCCAGAATGTGTGTTGCGCTCTCCGCTTATCATTTGATAATGTATGTTGCGGTTATCAGGTTAAAAGTTTTGGCATCTTGGATGTTGCAACAAGATGCATACTGGTAATTACAGTAAATATTTAAAGAAATAAGGAATAACTTATTGCACAAGTACGGTGTGCAACAACAAATGTGCGCACACACACACACACACACACTTGCAGCTTAGTGTCCTTCAAATTTTTAATCAGTGCACACTGTTATTACTGTGGGTCGTCGCCACTTTTACGCACCCTGATTAACAACCTGTCACTTTTTAATTTAATACATTGTGTTTGAATATACCTGTAGGTCATAACTTATATTTACTTGTGTCACTGTGTACAGTATAATACTTGAATATGCAAGACAGTACAATTTATCCACATCATTACTGAAATACTTGTATGACACCAGTTACTATACAGTACGTACTGTTACATTATGTACAATGTTACATGCAGTACTGTACCGTAGGAGCGATAGCCTACAGCATACTGTACAATATTTCTTTCTGCAACCTATTTCATAACTGTCAGCTGCTACATGCACATGATGCTGTATACTGTACACGTGTCCCTTAAAATGTTTCAATATTTGACATTTTCATTACATATATTTGATTTAAATAATCTTATCTATTTATTAATGTGCACGTTTGTCATACAAGCTGTAGATTTATTGTTTATGTTGCTACACTACATTAACTTATTGTTGAAAATTTTTTTTTTTTGCATATCCACTTCTTTTAATTATCATGGTCATGCCATTTCCCAGTCTTGGAAGAAGACATATCCTGTGAAGAGGGAATTATTAGCTGGTTTGGAACTGTTGAGAAGGAAGAGAAGATGTGGACATTACTGTAGAGTTGAGGTTATTGGTACAGTACTGAAACATTTCCTCACTGTTTTAGATAGGTTGTTGGTCTGTAATGCACATTATTTGATAAAGTGAGTTGAGGCAGAATATACAGTAACTGAAATTGTATGGAGGAATGTGACGTCTTAGATCATTATAGGGTTGAAAAAACTTCAGATTTAATGTCTTTAGATAGATGAATATAATTATGACCATTCTTGATGTTTGCTTTTGGGAAATAGTTAATATAAATTTGAGGGAATGAAATTTAGGCTCCTTAAGAGAAAGTGTCATAATGCACCCTTTGGGTTTTCTCATAATCTACAATGGATGGAATAACACAGTTACTTTTTGACAGGCCACAGCAGAAACTGCAGCAAGAATGAACTCCAGGGAAGCAAAGTGGCCAAAGAATTCGTTGGCTCATGGGAAAGTCGCCTGTATCAGTAAAAAAACTGGCTTCATCACCAAAAACCCAATGAAGAGTCTTCATGGTAGATACTTTGGAATTCAAAGGAGGAAACCAGGATCAAAGTCCTTCTTATATGGAAAGGGAAAGTTTTGTGCCCAAACAAGTTTTCGCTATGAAGACAAAGTTTGGTATGGGCAACTCCTGCAGCAGTTCACTGGTACTGCTTTGTTGCCCTCCAGCCATGCAGTATATGCTGTTCCTGCCAGGTCCTCAAGTTCTCACAGCATACGTAATATTAGTCCTTTGGGAATGATCTCGCGATCTCATTGTAGCTCCACTTGGACACAAGAAAAGCGACAACAGCTTGAAACTTCCGTGGGGTCTGCACCTTCACCTCAGCCAGAGCCAGATGACACGGCAATATTTCACATCCCAAGCTTCCCTGGAAAGGTGACTACTGATGTTCCTTCTTTGGTTGACATCACAAAATCTGGAAGTGCAGTAGATACAGGTACCAGCAGTGTTCAGGAATTGCAAAATGAAAGTGTTCCTTCTTCTGAAGAGCCAGATAAACAGTCATCTCTCAGAAATTCTTTAGAAAATCAGCTCAAGGGATCCCCAATTTATAATCTTGATTGGCTCAAGTCTATCCGTGAAAAATATGAAATCAAAGCAAAGTCTTCTGATTGTGATGCTGAGATTCTGGCTGAGGCACAGAGGTTGATTGAGGAGAGAAGAAAAAAGTCACAGGCATCTCTAGACAGCTGTATTTCTCTTAGAATGAGGCACTTTGACTTGTCATACCCTGGGAAAGTTAAAAAACGCCATTCTGATGACGAAGATGAGTATGATGATGAAGATGAATACGAAGATGAAGAGGAAGAGGAATTGGTGCCACTTACACCAGAAATGGAAGATGTTATTGAGAATGCTTTACAGAAAGCTCCTGCTGGGGAGGTGCTCGTTGATAAATTCAATACTCAAATTACTCGTCACGATATATCCACTCTGGCCGGCCTTAATTGGCTTAATGATGAAGTTATAAATTTCTACATGAATTTGTTGATAGACCGAGGGAAGAATGATAATTATCCAAGTGTTCATGCATTCAACACTTTCTTCTATCCCAAGTTGATGAAGACTGGCTTCCAGACAGTGAAGAGATGGACTAAAAAGATTGATGTATTTAGTTACGATTTACTGCTTATCCCCATCCATTTAGGGATGCACTGGTGTCTCGCTACTGTAGATCTTCGTGTCAAAGCTGTCTATTATTATGATTCAATGTTGGGTGATAATAACAAATGTCTGGAGTCTTTACTCAAGTACTTGGAAGATGAACATCAAGACAAGAAGAAGACCAGTTATGACACAAGTGAATGGACACTAGAAAATGTTAAGGATATTCCTCAACAGATGAATGGGTCAGATTGTGGAATGTTTGCCTGCATGTTTGCTGAGTACCTGTCACGTGATGCAGCCATAACTTTTGACCAGGAGCACATGCCCTACTTCAGGAGGAAAATGGTTTATGAAATTGTGAAAGCCACCCTTCTGTAACATGAGTTGATGTGTGTGAAGTAGATTAACACTTATAAGGAATTAAAAGTCCATACTTATGAAGTGAAAGGCTTAGAGAAGTGTATGTTATATACCTGAAGTTAGTACCAGAGAAGTTAATATTTGGACTTATTGTTAGTATGTTCTTGAAGGAAATAATCTCCCATTCTACAACTTCATGATCAATAATGGTAAGCTTGAGGGCTTTTGACCCAAATGTTTCATAAGAAGGGTTATTAGACAGGTTGGATCACATATCAAAGCTTGTCAACATAAAGAGTTTAAAATACTTTTGTAAGCATGTAAGATGTAGAGGTGTCCTGTGAGATCAATATTTGAGTTAAGAGTTTTCCTAATTTGGTAAACAGAATAAAAAAGGCAGAAGACATAGACTACAGGTAGAAGCTCAATAATTGCATGAGTAAGAATTGTACCAGGGTCTACTGTATCTGAGGTGGTGGTTGGAAACGCCAACAGTCGACTCAATCACAGGTCAGTAAGGCAGCCCTAACCAACCAGACCTGGTTAAGTAAATAAGTTTGGACATCCTCTTCATGTTTATGGTAATTTCAGTGAATGAGTTAGTGATATGATTTTGTCTGTACAATATTATTTATTTTGAATAGTTATAACTATGTACTGTAGTAAAAAAAATGTTGATTTTGATCATGGAGAATAAATTTTCTTTTCTTACTATTGTACTATACTGTACCACAATAGAATATCAAGAATGACAAAAGAAAACTGATGAATAATCTTTGGATAATGTAAGGACCTGTAGTTATACAAAACCTCACTAATTCAAACTGTGGGTAAGGGTAACTCAAGGTTGTCAATAATTTGAAGTGGATGAGCAAATTTTACTCATTTCCTCCAATGTGTCTGTTATGTGTTTTAACCAGCATAATACTGTAGTACTTAACTGCCACCATCACATCAATACTGTACAGTATTTATGAGAACATGTACTGTGCACAAATGCTTGGCTGAATTTCTATTTACATGTTATTAAGTGGGTAAAAATAATGCCAGAAAAAATTAGATGAAACTACCAAACAATAAGAAAACAGCAATGTTTTAGAGTACAGTACATGGTATGGAAATGGGATGCAGATGAGAATATGAATGTAAATTTTGTATTTTTTTATATTATTTATTGGGCACTCCCCTACATCCTTGTGTAAGGTGAAGCGCAGAAGCGTTTACAGTGCCCAACAGGGAAGCTCATGCTTGCCTTTATGTCTCGTGAGTTAAGGGCGTAGAAGCCTGAAGAGTCAATGGTTTATGTCATCAAGTTATTGGAAGCTCCAACAACTTGTCCCTGAATACGAATTCGCAACTTTTGATTTACACCAGGTACCTAGTTTACTGCTAGGTGAACAGGGACTAATGGGGGCTAGGAAGTAAGTCCAAACAACTTCCACCGGCCCGGGAATCGAACCCGTGACATCTCGCTTGCGAAGGCAAGAGCGGTACCACTCTACCACCAGCACCCCCCCGATGAATTTACATAAAAAAATAGTACTGTACTGAACAAGGAAAGGATATTAAGTAGAGAAAGTGTGTGATGTTTAATGCAAGGTTGACTGAATGGGTGTTATGGTGTGTGGTGTAGTGAAGGTGAACAGTGGGAATGGGGTGTGATTGTCCAACTCAAGCTGACCAACAGAGGTCTCCATTGCCCAGTAACACTGACATTAAGATAGGAGGGAAACTACTACAAACGAAGTGCATTTATGTACATATTTTTGCTTTTACAATACTGTACAATGGAGGAAATGAGATCAATTAACAAGTAGATCACACACACACACACACACACCTGACTCATGAGCAACATCATGATAAAGCAACAGGGAAACTTACTCAAATAAAATGACCTTGAGTACATTCCTGTACATTTATGAGCTTTTACATTAAAATTTTTTGTTAAATAAAAGGGCTTGCTATTTTTTTACCAAATTAATGATAATAAATATTCCACACTCCCAGATAATTGGCTTGCCTTGTGATTAATGAAATAGTTATTTAATACTCAAAATTGATGTACCTTATGACTAGTATTTTTAAGTTTCCGGAATTTGAATTAGTGAGGTTTTACTGTAGGTGAATGGGATTTAACTATGAAGGTGTTATATAAAGTTGTGGGAAGGAAGAGTTAATAACTGGCATACTGTTGTACTCTTCTTGGTTATGACTGTAATCTACTCTAAGGATTAAAGTACCATTGTTTGGTGTTCCAAGAAATCTTATGTATAAAGATATTTGTTAAGTGGTATTTGTTGGGTAGGTACGATTGTGTAAACAGTACTACATATCCCCCCGCCACAATAAGAGGAGGGGGGGGGGGTTGACTCAGCCAAGATTTACAACTTGGGGAGTGGGAGTTATAGTGATTATTAATTTGAGGGATTTTCCTGTTGGAGGTTTTCTTTTTTTATCTTTTCATTTGATGGTTAAAGCCTTGGCAACAGACAACTTTACTGTAATAGTCTTAATGTTTGTATCACTCGCTTCATTCTTTAAATTGTAAGTACTGTACTGTACTGTACTTGCTCTCATGACCCACTTGGCACTTAATGATACCATCGCCCTCAGTGTAGCAGCAAGAGGAATGTTATAGTTTGTACTGTACACAACATATTGATCCTTGCTAACATTTTGTGTGTATTTTATCAAAACAGCTAAATTTAATAATAAAATTATTAGAAACTTTTTTGTTGAAATGAGTTTGATGTGGAGAAGAGACACATTTATTACTGGTAAATTACACCATATGATTTGTGAAGTCACATTTATTTTGTTACAAGATGTCATGGAAATCACACATTCTTAACATAGCTAAAGCTGCCTTCCGAAAGTTGGGAATACTGTGCAGATACCGTAGCTACTTCACTCTTGAGCAGTTGCTTCAAGTATATAAGGGATTCATTCGTCCTAACGTGGACTACAGCACTCATATATGGGGTGGCTCCTCTTCTTTCTTGTTAGATAGGGTGGAATCAAAGGCATTTTGACTTATTGAATCTCCTCCTTTAGTTGACAAGCTTTCTTCCCATTCTCTTCGCTGCAATGTTGCTTCACTTTCTCTCTCTTTTACAGGTACTTTAATGGGCAATGTTTGATGAATTTGGCATCCTGTGTACCGCCGGCAAGGCCGTGGGCTCGAAACACACGTCTTGCCCGCGGTGCCCACCGTTTCTCTGTGGATGTCGGTCACACTAGAATAACCTGTTATAGTACCTCCTTCTTTCTTCACACAGCCAAACTGTGGAATGCTCTGCCTTCTTCTGTGTTTCCATACTTATACAATGTCTCACTTTAAAAAGCTGGTTTTCTGGCATCGTGGTGTAGATTAACACAGTATAACCTTTTTCTTCTCTATTTTTAATGTGGGAGTAAAGTTTTTGTGAAGCCCTTTAACTACCAATTACTTGTTAAAGATACAGTACAGTTATTGTATGAACAAGAAATAACAGTAGAGTACTGTAACTCTGGAGAAGTGAGTTTGTGAGTAGTCCCTCTTCCCCCATAGTCACGTACAGTAGGCCTGGCTGGAGGTGTCTTACACGGCCTTCCATACTGATGAGCCCCAGACTCCTCTCTCAGATGTTTTATAGTAGCTTTACAATTAGTAAATTGTATATGTACAATGAAAATGCTCTCAAATCTGTATTATAGTATTTTTTAAAGGTGCTCTTGTTAGTAACGTACAGTACAGTACATACTTGGTATAGTGGATAGTGGATGGTGAGCTGGGGTTGTACTGCTTGTGATAAAGTTCCTGTAAAGACTCGTGTGGAAGTAATGTCCCTTCGAGTGGATTCTGATTTTGTTTATTTTTTATTTTATTTTGTTTATCTTTATAAAAAAATTTGGGTATAAGAACTTGATTCCTAATCATATTAAGACATGATAAGTATAAATGAATTATGTCCATATTGAAAATATTTTTAATATAGTTTGATTTCAATATGACCCTGAGTAAGATGGGCGTCCCCAACAGGTGGGGCTGGACAGTGCCTGTCACAGGATTGGAGAGAGAGGAGCGAAAGGAGGCGGGAAGGTCCACTGCACCTCCGGCAAGACGCACCAATGCCCGTACTGTCTGTACAACACCTCGGTTACAACAAATCTTATTAATCACCTGCGTGTTCATACTGGAGAGAAGCCATTTTGTTGTCCCCATTGTCCATATCGTGCCAATCAGAGGACAAACCTTAAAACACACATGCGGACACATACGGGAGAAAAGCCTTACGTTTGTACGCAGTGTCCTTATCGCTCTTCAAATAAGGGAAGTTTAGACACGCACATGTGGACACGTCACACAATTAAATAAATTATTGAGTTGTAAGTTAAGTAGGTACAGTACTTTGAAGCTCATTGGAATTGATCAGGATTGTAATTTTTTTTACTTAAGTAATGTATTGTTTAATTTCTCATTCCTACAAAGCTGGTAAGGTAATTGTATTCAATACCTAATGTAGTATAGATTTTAGAAATAAATGTTGCAATGATAATGAGTGTCTCATAAACCAATAACTGTAGTACAGTAAAATGAAGAGAGGGATAGTTTTACTGTACAGTACCGGCTTACATACATCTAAAGCATTTGACATTGTTTACCTTTTCACTAATATAGATAACAAAAACCTTGCTTCTAATACAGAGCAACTCTACCTCATATACTGTACAATGCACAGAAATTTTGCTGTGTTAAAGCAGTTTTGCTGACAGTTCCATTATGATATTTCTTATTGTTTACGTTAATTGAAAGTAAAGTATAACGTATATTTATAACTTGTAATATATTATGTAATCCTCACAATGCAAGAGTAAAGAATCTGATTGAAACTAGCCGTGGGTGATGCTAATGTGCCAGTCATTATATTACAGAACTACAATTGTAAGATGATTCTTGAATAAGTTCACCTGAGCATTTCCTTGAAAGAATGATTTTATTTCTTTCAAGATAAATACTGTACAGTACTGTATTTGAATGTTGTATTTACTGTACCCTGTCACTACACATAACTGATCAATAATAAAGATGTCTGATTGTAACTGTATATGACAAGAAGAAAGTCCTCTTACATATATACATACCCCCTGTAGTCTGCTAAGTGGAAATTGAATCTGGGGAAGCATTTTTTTTTAAACTTAATACACTAAAATTGTACTGAAAGCAAGCAAAGTTATGATGTGATGTACAAGTTAATATTAGTGTATCACCGTGTGATTTTTTATATAAAACGAAATTTATTATATTTTAAATTCCTTTGTACAGTAATACAAGGCAATACAGCATAACGGGCAGTTTCCCAGTTAGGAATTGGTTACATTCCTGGACCCTGTTCATAAGTTGGAACAGTGTTAATTCCAAAGGTTAGGTTAATTTAAGTACTGTACAACCCTGTCCATACAAAGCAACAATAATATCCCAGACATAACAAATATTGTAAATACTGTAAATAGATGATGTTAAACAATGTAAAGTACTGTACTGTCCAGTAAATATAAAAAAATGTGGTTTTAGTTATAACCCTGACCATACAAAACAATAATAATAACCCATACATGACAAATACAGTACAATAATGTAATACAGGGGTCCATCGGTTAACGAACACAATTCGTTCCAGAAGGTCGTTGGTTAACCGAATCCATTGTTTCAATGGGATATTGGGTAAT